ATAAACAACATGAAAGCAAGGATTCATCCTGCCTTATGCCAATGCTTCAGGCTGGTATTGGTTTAATGGTGTAGGGGATATTTTCTTAGCACTAGCAAGATATACCTAATAAAGTGGTCAGTGTACATATAACTATATATATATTATTCTGTAGTTGATCAATACTTCCCCATAAGCTGGTTAAACCATCAGTAAGTACCCAAGCTGACAAGGTGGATCACCCATCCAATGCAGCCAGCGGCTTCTGTGGTGGTGACACTACATGTTCAAAAAATGAAGGCAGTGTATGAAAGCATTTTGAATTTTAGAAGCCTACTTTGTGCATGTCATACTATTTTTCACCATGGTAACTCTAGCAATTTACTCAATGGACAAAATAGGTCCAGTTGGCTCAACTATCATTTTTCATCTCAGAACATCACTATAAAAAAAAAAATTACAGTCTGAACACCTTAAACCTGAATTGTGAAAAGTATATAAAAGGTAACCACAAATGTTCCAAATGAATGAATAAACCAATTAGCTATGGCAGTGTGAGAGTCAGTCATGACTCCAAGTTGTAAGTATTATTGCTATGAGTTTTCATCAGTCATTACGAGGCTGGAGACTACACAGGAAAGAGGAATAGGAGCTTTGCTTCCTAAATATTTCCATGGATTAAGGGTTTAGTTGAAGAGGAGACCTGGTGAAAATTAAAGTACAACCAAACTTTGACAAAAGAATACTTAGTTTTCTAGGACACTGTCCATGAAATAAAATTACATTATTTTGTTGTTACAAAAACACAGTTTCTCCCTTACTTTGTCTATTTTCTCATTCCCTGAATTATACACATACTGTAGATACCGGTAGGAAATTCCTGTGGTGAGTGCACCCTTTAGGGGTAGCAGAACATCACAGTTTTTCTTTGGTGACCACAGCAGACTGTGTCAATGCACTGTTCTGGGAACAAGCAGCTACACAGGAGGAAGTACACATCAATATAGATGGTACTGGAATGGGGTGAACTAGTGGATGCAGTGGACATTGCACTGCATTCAATTTTTAGCAAGTTTTTAACGCAGTATTGAATTCATGTATTTATATTGTTATTTATATATAAGGAGATTATATGAATATATAATTTTTTGTTTTAGTTGCGTTGCACTTTTATTTTAGGTATTTAATGTAGATGTAGGAACACACATCAGTGAATAGTGGTAACATATTGTTTTGTTATTGATTAATGCACACTTTTGGTGCTAAATAAATACATTTCTTTGATTAGTGTGGTGATTTCTAGCCAGGGGCGGACTGACCATTCGGAAACTCGGGCACTGCCCGAGGGCCCGGGGTCAGTAGGGGGCCCCATGAGATGCCCCTGGTACCTTTTTCATAGGCTTTTTTGAGTTTGGGCAAGGACACAGGGGCTCCATGATCCCCTATTGCCCAGGGGCCCCATGAGTTGTCAGTCCGCCCCTGTTTCTTGCCAATTTTTCAGAGCTGTGGGAGGATGGATGGAGTCCTTTTATGATTTGATCTTGAAGGGAGGGATGAAGATCTGCAAGGATAGGGAGGGAAAGCTCTGGGAGCAGCATATCTTGAGACAGCAGAGAGCTGAGGACAGGTGGCCACACACAAGGAAAAGAGGTGGTGTCAGAATGGTGCGCTGCAGGGATTTAGAACTGTTGGACAGATGTTGCCCTTGGGGGATTTACTTTGGGTGGGAGATGGTATCATTTGGGAGTTTAATTTGCTTGGGAAGGATGTGGGGCTACAAAGAGGGATAGTGCTTATGGATTCAATTTGCTGGAAAGGGATGATATCTTTGGCACTGTGATGAGGCTAGGAGAGTTGCACAGCTGTGAAAAAGGTGATGTCTTTCAAGAACTTGATTTTCTGGGAAGGGATGCACCACTGGGGAATGCGCTGTGGTGAGGGATGCAGAGCTGCTGAAAGTGTAGTATGATTGCAGAGTTGGTATCTGCATGGAATTTTTATGGTGGGGAGGGATGCAAGGTTGTGGGAAGTGTGGCATGACAGCAGACGGCAAGCACCAAGAAAAACAGGATTGAACAAAAGAATGGAAGAGGTTAGGAGTGTGAGATCACTTAGAGGTTAGACATAAAGCAAAAAGAAGAAGCAGTCCCTACCAGAACAAACAACAGGTGCTGGTATGCTATTAAAAAAATACTGAAACCGGTTTGAGTCTCTCTTCTGATCTTTGATTATGAACTATTTCAAACTACAAGATGCTAGAGATGTTAGGGATGGCTTGTTTAAAAACTATTTTCCTGCTTGTTAGAAATATGTAAAAACTTTAATGTCCATAGTGTGCTGATGCTAAAGGGGCTATCTCCATCCATGGAGAGACCAACCTAAATGCCTGATTATCAGGCCTGATATCTTTAGGGGTTCTGTGTGTTTTTTTTAATCAACTTGTATTTAAACTTGGAACTGCTATTTACTGTACCACATCTATTAATCTTAAAGCCTCTAAAACCCAAAAAGCATAAGACTTTATTGGTACCAGAGAGGAAAGATACATGTATATAAAAAAATATACAAACATTTTATTCCATTTAATTATATTAAAAACAACAATCCAGAACCATAGCCCGTGTACACAACAAAATATCATGAAACAACCATATAATATGTATGTACATATTATATAGTTGTTTCATGATATTTAGTTGTACTTGTTGCTGTTTATATGAATTGGACTGGGTTAAGGACCAGTATTGGAGGCTTTGAAACTTGGAATATATTTGACATATAGAATTATAAGCATAGAACAATTGCTTTATACGGGCTATGGCCCTGGATTGTTTTTAATGCTGTGATTTTACAATATTTAGATTAAATGTTTTGTATATCTTTATATACATGTGTCTGTAATCTCTGGTACCAATAAAGTGATATGCTTTTTGGTTTTGGGTGGGTTGTTTTAATTAAAAAATTATATATTAAACATAAAAAAGATAAATAAATGTCACTGGTAAAATAAATAAAGGTACCTGGCATTAAAGTAGTACTAATTGCTTTTTTTTTTACTTTAGTACATTCATAGAAAGGTAAAAAATTTACCCTAGACATTTTCAATTCTCCTCTAACCTACTGTCCCTTGCCACCATGTGGAGGTCCAGGAAGATCCTTGCAATTCCCTAAACTTCAAGGTTATAGAAGAGTGAGGTTAGTTGTAAGGTAAACTGGATTCCCAGAACCAGAAAACCAGTGCGGACCTATGCTTAACTAGTGCCCGGTGACCTATTTAAACTGGTCTGTTACTTTGAGTAGTTGCTGAATGGGCTACAGCTTGTTCCCTTGTTTCTGAGAGCCATTCTGCTATACTTGCTTATCTGTGTATGACCCAGCTTGCTTCTGCTCCTGCCTCACCCTTGTTTGCCTGATTATTCTGACCTGAGTCTGTTTACTCGACTTACAGTATATCTGCCTACTGATTCTGTATTGCTTTGCTAGGCTGTTACTGAATTTGGCTCTGCCTGCTGATTTGGCCCCCTGCTGCCTGACTGTCACCGCCCGCTGCCTGACTGTCACCGACCGCTGCCTGCCCCTTGCTCCTGCCTCCATTTTCTGCTCTGGTGCCAAGCTGCTCCTGCATCTAAGGACTGTGAATGTAAATAGTGGACAACACCAGCCAGCTACTCCAGCACTCATCCCACTCCGTGCCTTCACCTACTTTGTCTCCACCTTTAGGAGTCTTGGGCAGGAGGTGCAAGGGAGGCATTCACAACATCCCAGTGTTCACCAGGTACGTATTAGTGTAGCAATAGGCTCCTGCAGCTGTCTGTCAATTTTCTGGGAGGAAGGAGCAGAGATGTGGCTTGATGGGTGCTCTGTGTGAATGGAAAGACACAGTGCTGGCCAGGAGCACACATGCCCACAAAGTAGGAGGTGGGGGGCAGTGGTTCAAGGCCCAGCTGGACTACAAAGAACGGCACATTTTTCAGGAAGAAGAATATATATATTTGTAAGTCTGACATCTTGAACCATTTTTTTTTATACATATAATGTTTATGTATTGCTTTAAAAAAGTCCTGGATTCTTTCTTGGATACACAGAATATAACTGGATACTAACATCGATCCAGCGAATATCCGAGTGTCTCCCGGGGGATCAGGAAGGATTTTTTTTCCCCTGCAGGAGCAAATTGGATAATGCTTTGCTGGTTTGTTTTGCCTTCCTCTGGATCAACTGTGGGTATAGGATTATAACTTTTTTTTTTTAAATGGTTGAACTGGATGGACTTTTGTCTTTTTCAGCCGGACCAACTATGTAACTATGTAAGGTTTTATATCACTTCAAGTGGAAAATTATAATCAAATTAGAGACAAACAGATAAGACCATGCTGAATGGATTAAGTAAACTGGTGGTTGAGCCATCTTTAAGAAAATGTATAGTTAGTAGGAGCTAGATGGAGGAAGCACCTTTTTATGTAAAGGCTGTGCAGCATTGGTTAGGGTCGCAAAGTGAAGATCTTTGATGTGGGTTTGAAGGTGTAGGTAGGAGCCTTCAACTGAAAAAGTAGGGGAAGATTTAAAACACTAAAAGCAAAATTGTTCTTTGAACAGCTTTGGTGAAAAATCTTGTTGTTTACAGAGCTCAATAGCTGAAATTTAGATTACACATGCAGCAGAATAAGCCAGAGTAGTTGCTCACTCCTCCCATCCCCCTCTGCTATGTATACCTCTATATGTAGTTTCAATTAGAGAGATGCTGTATAGTCACAAAGGGAGAAGCTATTTCTGTGTTTTTATCTTTATAAAACCTTGAATGCTGCACAAATTCAATGTCATGGGTGTACTCTGTATTACAAAATGTATAAAAAATTCATACAAGTACATACCATCAAATTAAAACATCAAAACTTAAAAAGAAAAATAACAGTGACCATTATCTTTTATAGTTTCCTTTAACAGCACACATTTTTCTCCCTAACTCATAGACAGTGATAACAGATGCTAGACACTGACTTACTGAAACAACGAAAAATACATTATACTGACCTTGTGATAACATATGGAGCGAAGCACACCACAAACGACCCTATAAAAATACTGATTTTCTTTGTCGCCCGTTGCCGTCTTCTCTTTTGCTCACTCAAACATCTCTGCTTCACACTGCAAGGCAGATACTATGTATGATTACACAATAAAAGATAGAAGACCAGAAAGGGGACTTGAATGTCAAAATATATGGTGGAAATATAGCAATGCCCTTGAGCTAGAAGGTGACAACTCAGCAAGCTACAAGTGAATAGGCAGAAGGAATGGTTGCTCTAAGAATTCCAATATCACTCAAAATGAACATTTAAATCCTGGGTGACAGGTACACGGAATCACCCATGAGCATCTTTTATGTTCCACACACTCCAATAGCTAGTTCTCTGTAGTTGAATTCCCTGTTTTGTGCCCCCATCTGTGAAGTCTCACTCTTATTTCTGTATTTATTCTTTTATAACATATTATTACAGATTGCAGCAATAATACTGTGACAGGTTTGCTTGACATTTTGATGCCCATGGCACAGTGCCAGGCTGAGGACTTCTTAAATTTAGAATGCTAATGGATAATGTAAACCATACTTGTCAACCCAAAGCAGTAAAACAAATGTTCAGCAAGTTCTCCTAGCTGATAAACTGATAAAAGTGTTGTAAGGCAAGGGTAGGAATGCTTATTTCATTTATTTTTGTAAACATTATTTATTATATATCTTGTTTCATTATGCTTTGATATGCATTATCGTATGTGCTGAATGGGGATTGGTGTAATCTTTCTGTGCATTTTGCAAGAGTAGTTGTGTGGTTGTTCCAGAGCTTAGTAAATGAGGTGAAGCTTTACTTTGCAAAGAAGTCCTAATCACATGCAAGGAAAACATGACTGGATAATGTCAGTAGAGCTTCTTCTCATTTACTAAGCTCTGGAGCAACTGTTCTTGCAGAGTGCAACTGCACAGTCTATTTGCCTTTAATAAATCAACCCCATTATCTACTGTATGAAGCTGTGTGCATATAGAAAACATTTAATGAATAAAATGGGATACTCTCTAAACATAATATGTGTTGCATTCTCTAGACCACATGTGTCAAACACAAGGCCCGTGTCCCAAATCTGGCCTTCACACCTCTCTTCCAGCTGTGGCCCCCTCCTTGTCTCTGCCCTCACCTTGTCTCAGCAGTCAGCAGCAGAGAGGAGGACAGAACACCTCCTACAGATCTTGCACCTCTCTGTGCAGCTGCAGCATACTCCTTGTCTCTGTCTCCCCTGATCTCAGCATTCAGCAGACTCCAGCAGCTGATTCTAGCCTTCCTCTGGTTCTCCTCCAGACACTGCATGTTCTGCTCTCCAGCTCCACCCCCAGTTTCTTCCTGGTAGCAGCACAAGGTAAAGGGGGTGCACTGTAATGTAAGGGAGGGTGGTGGACTTTTGATGGTGGATGGGCTCTTGACATCTGATGTAAAGGGGGGGTGGGGTGCTCTGGACATCTAGTCTTACAGATACAACTGGCCTATTGAGGGCAACAATAATGCTGATGCAGCCCGCAATGGAATTGAATTTGACACCCCTGCTCTAGACACAGTAGACTTTCCATCTATCTATTCATTGTACCCAGTGGGGAGTGGTAAAATGTTTATTGCTGTATACTCAAACAGCAACTCTGTTAAACTGAAAAAGCGCTAATTTGTATTTTCATTTTTTCTCATCAGTGTCCCAGCTTTGCTTATCATGCTCTCGATGCTTCAGGTTTTACAGCTGGTTTACAGAATGATATGCATGTAGTATACAGGTTATAATAAACAAATTTATTGTAAACTTCAATTTTGTTTAAAAAAGTTATAGAAATTTATGGAAATCAGTTTTTTTTAATTTTAAATTGGCTCACTACATCTCCTAGCATTATTTCTATTGTTACATCAGCTGGACTGATTATATCATTTTGAAACAGCAGCCCATCCACTAAACATTCCCACTCACTTCAACAACAGCAACAGCTTGGACTTACAAAACAAAACCATACCCCCCCCCCTTTCCCCACAGCCACTTTACCAAATCTTAGCCAGGATCCTTCCCCAGGTACCTACATAACCCTTCCTGATAGCAGTGGCCTCCTCTGCTGTATAAATCTTCAGTGCTAACATTTTCTTCTAAAATAACTCCCTATAGACTTGAATGATTACATACGCCTAGTGTCTACTGCACCGTAGAGGGCAACTGTGCCATCAGGAAGAGATAATAGGCAGCTGGGGTATATAGGGATGGAGGGCTCTAGCTATAATTACTTTGGGGTGCTAGGGAGGGAATAGATTTTTTTTTCATCTTTAAACTATATTTGTGCTTTAAAATGACACTGTTAATGCACCCATATGGGACATAGAGATAGTGACTTTGTAAAGGGCCCCCAACCCAATTATTCTCACTTAGCCAGTGCTCCCCCATAGCTTCTGTTGCCACTGCAGTCAACATGGAAATCCAGGGAGTTAGCTGGTGTCAGATAGCAATGAAAATGGTACCAGCACTCCCCTGGTCATATGACAATGCTTGGTCCCAGAAGCTGGCTGTTAGACCTAAGCACTGTCACAGGACAGGACATCAATATGCAGTGCCTAAAAAAAGTACACTCTCATCGTGCATTACCGTGGTATACACCGTGTTTATTGTGTAATCTTCCTTCAGCTCTGAGGAAGGGGGTTCATCTCCCGAAACGCGTCAGCTCATCCCCAATTGGGGCACAGCATTGCATTGACCACCATTGCGGACCATTCACACTGCTTTTATTATCCTTTGGTTTTGTGAGTATACATCTATTTGATTACACAATAAACACGGTGTATACCACGGTAATGCACAATGAGAGTGTGCCCTTTTTTGTTCTTTGTCCAGTAGCATCCAGATTTCCCGATCTTTGAATCTTTGAATTCCTCTGAAGATTTGAGCGCTGGTTTCATTTGTTTGTCTTTGGACTAAAAAAGAGTACACATAAACAGTGCCATGTCAAAAAACAATATCAAATTAATATAGAAGGACAAAAGAGAGAAAAAACATCCAACAAAAATTATAAAAAAATAAAAATATAATGTAAAATGTTCAATTCATTCCAGTGGTAAATATCTCCTTAAGACCAAGTAATGCACCATCCATGATATCCTGCAGTGATTAACACCCCATTGGATTCAACACTCACCAGAAGCTGGTGAGTAACCAGCAGTGGAATATTAGTAGAAATTCAATCAATCTCCTTAATAATGAATGGTTGTGAAATCTTGAACTGGATAATCAGCCAGCAGCCCAAAGGAACCTCCAATCAATAGATTATTAGTATATCATACTCCAATCTCCTCATTCAGATTGGGTAATATCAATTCCATATGTGGGCAAAATAAAACAGCCACATAGCGTGATACTGTAAAAACAATAATTTATTGCCATAGAAAACCCCCCTTAAGAAAAGCACTCTCATGGTACTGCACATTGTATATATACTTCCAATAAGATGCCCGCCGCTCACAGCAGCTAGTGACAGTCTCACCGCACACTGGTAACTGAGATCTTAAACAATGATCATGTGGTCCTGGCGTGCGTGCTGACATCACGGATGGTCACGCACTGACACGTTTCATCATATCCGACTTCCTCTGAGGGTGTGGGCAGGACAGGACATGCTCCACCATACTCAAAAGCATAAGGAATCGTTGCCAACTGTGATGGAGACAGGATCAGCAAGGAACTGCTGGGTACATAAATGGTGCAGGAGGAGCCCTTTACAAAGGCATTCAGGGTGAAGTCAGCAACCAGAAGAGATAATTAAATATAATTATATATAATGGATAATTAAAATTTCTCTTTATTTCGTCCAAGGAGTACACATGTTCCAAAAACACGCGTTTCAACCTATTAAGGTCTTACTCATAGTTCAGGGAAACATACCGATAATCCAATAAGATAACCAAACAACAAAGGGACCAAGGTTTTTAATGATAAAATTGCTTCATAGCAGAAAAAAAAAATCCAACATGTTTCAGGGACCAAACACTTCCCCCCTCCCCCCAGTGTTAGTGAATGCACTAGCACTGGCTTAACCATGAATAAAAGAAATTAGCAGCGCTAATAAGTAAAGTGCTAGATTTATATACAAGTGCAAATAAACTATGAACACTTATATTACTCCATGTGACTCTGCAAAATAAAAAAAATAAGTAAAATAGAACCGAAAACCTTTACTGTGTATATCTGAAATATCTTAAAGTATCTCCAAAAAAAAAATAATATATATATATATATATATATACATACTGTATATATTGCCAAAAGTATTGGGACACCCTCCAAATCATTGGATTCAGGTGTTCAAATCACCTCCATGGCCACAGGTCCATAAACTCAAGCACCTAGGCATGCAGACTGCTTCTACAAACATTTGTGAAAGAATGGGGCGCTCTCAGGAGCTCAGTGAATTCAAGCGTGGTACCGTGATAGATTGCCACCTGTGCAATAAGTCCATCCATGAAATCTTCTTGCTACAAAATATTCCACAGTCAACTGTTACTGGTTTTCTAACAAAATGGAAGCAACTGGGAACAACAGCAACTCAGCTACGAAGTGGTAGGCCATGTAAAACGACAGAGCGGGGTCAGCGCATGCTGAAGTGCACAGTGCGCAGAAGTCGCCAACTGTCTGCAGAGTTAATAACTAAAGACCTCCAAACTTCATGTGGCCTTCAGATTAGCACAACAATAGTTGTGGAATGGGTTTCCATGGCCGAGCAGCTACATCCAAGTCTTACCTTAGCAAGTGCAATGCAAAGCGTCAGATGCAGTGGTGTAAAGCACGCCGTCACTGGTTCCAGTGAAAAGAATTCTTAAGGCGTCAGCATACCAAGACATTTTGGACAATTCCATGCTCCCAACTTTGTGGGAACAGTTTGGGGATGGCCCCTTCCTGTTCCAACATGACTGCGCACCAGTGCACAAAGCAAGGTCCATAAAGACATGGATGAGCGAGTTTGGGGTGGAGGAACTTAACTTGAACACCTTTGGGATGAATTAGAGCAGAGACTGCAAGCCAGGCCTTCTCATCTGACATCATTGCCTGACCTCACAAATGTACTTCTGGAAGAATGGTCA